TGAGAGACGTCCGGTGGTGGTTCGGGATCAAGTCAGCTTATCAACAGCGCTGACTACGTGTGGCCATGCGCCATATGGCCCACCAAAGTCAGCGAGCCTCTTCGACCGCTTCCTTTTTCCAAAATCCAAATCCGCTGCATTTCCAGTGCCAATCGCCAATCGCAAGAAAATCGTAGATATTCAGAATGGAAAACATGTTTCTTATGGCAGTGTTGAGATCGGCTCGTGGACCCGAGTTGATTCTCTGCAAGTTCCGGTGGTGGCCACGCACGAACTCGACACTGTGATTTTAACCTCTGCTATTGTTGAGGATGTACAGCCGAGTTTCAAAAGAGGTCTTGAAAACGGGTGTCTCGGGTTGCTGCCGTTCCATCCTCTGTGGGTGTCAAATAGTGTTGATTTACACAGATAAATCGGTGAAAAACATCTGTAGTGTAGTTATATAACATGCCTCTGTCTATAGTAAACTAATAAGAAACCATATCTAACTTCAAACGATTCCTAACCAAGAGAAAAGGCCCAAAGCGAAAGCGCCTGCCAGGAAGTGTGCAATCGTAGGATGCTGCATGGAGGAGCTAACGATTTGACGCTGGGGTACACATGAGGCTGTTTCGACCACTCGTTCTCCCGATGCAGAAGTCTTCGTTGCATTTGCTGCTCTTTGAGAACCTGCCTGTATTGCTGAGGCGTGCAGCGCTGGAGCTGCAATCCTCTGCGTCCCAGACCAAAGACCGTTGCTATTTTCATTGTTTGTTTGCGGTTGCGATGGTGCTGCCCGTTTGACACGTGCACTAGTGGTTGCGGTCTCTATTGTAGAAACAGCCGTCTTAGAGGCGACTGGCCTTACTCTGGGGTTCTGCTCCGATACTGCGGCATCCCTAGTTCTCGATTTGACACTCTTGATCGGTTCTTGGTGCGGCACCGGAGGTGACGTGAATTGCGCCCTTTGCCGACGGGCTTCCACTAGTTTTAGGGGACGCAGTTGCCGGGGCTCGTCTCGTTGTCGAGTGCTTTTATTCTGCTCAGAAGCTAACTCTTGGGTTTGGTTCCCCGGTTTAACTGATTCAGTAACTTGGTCGGAGACCGTCTGAGTGGGTTCGGTAGGCACCCCTGATGCTGGAATGTCTATCAATGTAGGGTTGATAGTTGACTCTTCTTCTTTGATCGCATCGTTAGATATCGTTGAGGGCGCAGTAGTTTGCTCTGCTGTATTCGACATTTGTGGGTCAGCTTCGGGTAGTTTGACGCGATTCTTCTTGGCGAGTTGTCGAGCAGTAATTTCGCAAATATCCAATTCGAGCTTCTCTAATTCCGTTTTCTCCCCAAGAGAGCGATATGTAGATACGAGATGAGACATTGCTCGCAGTGTATCTGCATGGTCATCGCCTAGCCGACATCTCCGTACCGACAAGATCTTCTCTTGCAATTGCCTTGCTTGATCATACTTTTGCAAAGAACAGCATATCAATGCAAGCTCTTCCATGGCCTGGAGAGTATCGTTATGGTCTTCACCCATTGTGCGCTTTCTTATTGATAAAGCATTCAGTATACAGCTCTCTGCCTGGTGATACTCTTCTTGACTATGATAGGTGCATCCAAGTCCATAAATGGCGCGGACTGTATCGATATGTTGGGCTCCTAGTAACGCTGACCGGCTGTTTAAGACTTTCATCCATAGGGTTTTTGCATCCTCGTATTTACCTTGCAATTGGTAGTTGTTTGCAAGAGATTGCATTGAATCTAGAGTCGCAACGTGCATTTCTCCATTTTTCTCGGTTCGCCATTTCAAGACCTCACGCTTGATCTTTTCGGCCTCGCTGAATTTCGTCATTTGTTCGTACGTGCTTGCCAAAGAATCCCGTGCAGAGTAGGTCTTCTCGTGATTCGTTCCCAGGGTATCTTGGTAAATCGCCAGTGCCTGACTTCTCAGCTCCTTCATCCTCACCGGATCGTCAAGATACGTGTGTGCTAGCTCAAGTGCAGCATCTGCAACTCCCATCCCAGAGCTACCTTGTACTTTCTCGATACGTTTATAGACTTCCTTCCACACTTTCTTGCTGACTTTGAGCTGATCGCCCTCGCGTAAGACTCGGCCAAGAGCTGCCGCATCGTTAACATGCATATTTTCCATGAATTTCAAGGAGACAATATGCATAATGTGAGGGACGAGATAGGGTTGCATCCAACGTGTCCCCCAGTTGCACACCAGGACCCTGGTAGCAGCAGCGAGAGATAGAGCACGGTGGTCAGCCGGGATGTTATCGAATAGCCAGTCGCGAAATAACGGATGCATCCGGAAGAGATCAGTTTTGAAGCCCGACGAGAATGAAATCATTGAATAATTCTGTAAGGCACGCATGATCTCATGCTGACTACTGCTCGTCCACCTTTCCTCGGTGAAGAAGATGTACCTGAGGTGAATGATGGACTCTAAACTTGGGCCATTGCGCGATAGAAGGGCATGTGGTTCCAATTTGAACTGCGACTGGGCCGCCAGGGCGAACGCTTGTAGAGGGAAATCGATGAAGTGGTAGTGGGATAGTATGTATAGAAATTTCTTAGCTTTCCCGGGGAGTCGATTGAATGACATAGAGAACGAGGTGAACGCGTTAGCTCTCTGTCGCTCTTGACTGTTATAGTTCAATAGATTTCCACGACTAGTCTTGAAAAGATCGAGATATTCCCTTGCACTACATCGGTTCTCTTGCATATACGCGCGGGCTTGAGAAAGCGCGACTGGAAGATACCCCAGTTCTGCAGCAACCTTGGGAAGAAACTGCTCGTCCTCGTTAGATGTGGATATCTTCCCGTGCTTAAGAACCGAGAGAGCTTCTTCATTAGACATTACATCCAGCTCGATATGCCACTCCGGTTTGGAGGCGAAAGAACCCAGGTGTCGGTTGCGTGTGGTGACCAGAATAAACCCATGGTTACAGTCTGGAATATAAGAAGACAGATCCCAGTTTTCATTGTCGGCGTTATCGATGAAGAGGAACCAATTTTGGTTGCGACGGTCACAGAGAAAACGAAGTGCCTCTGCTAAAGATGCCTGCGAATATTCTGGCCCAATACTCCGCACATGTGCGACTAAATCGGCTTGAATACTCGCTACCGAGCTCCCATCGATCGATAAAACATGTTCAAAACTACAATCATTAGTCCAAGTCCCATCTCGTAGACTCTTACGTACTTTGAGCTGATATGGTGGGCGAACTTTGCACATAATTGCGTTTTACCGTATCCCGCCATTCCAGAAACCACTACAACCTTCTGAATAGGAGGATAAACGCGTTCCGTCAGAGCCTCCATTAGTCGGCCCCATGGCTCGTCTCTCATTACGAAGTTTGGACTGATTGCTGGCAGTGATTTGTGAGCGACAATACTAGTTCCGGAATGATCTGTCCAAATATATTAGAATAAATTATAAAAGGAACTATTAAACATTAGCTTACTCAGCTGTTCTAGAGTCGCAATACCTAGTCCTGACTTTAGGGAGTTGGCGCAATTTTTGATCTGCTCCTCTATTTCGGGATACGCGCAACATGAAACTGCTTGAGATATTATGAATTCTGGATCGAGTAGTTTTTCGCCCTGCCATAGCTCTAATCCGTGGAGGACAGAGAGCCGATGATAGAGACCAGAACGCCCGAGCTGACGCCGTATACTTCCCGCTGTTTGTTCACAATCGGTTAAGATGGACCGGAGGGTGTTGTTCCATTGGTTGCCCCCGGAGTATTTGTCTGCTACTGTGATAATACCCGGATGACCAGCACCCAAGCTGACCAGGGCAGCTACATACTCGCTACTAGGATTAGGAGACGAGTTGTATGCCTCGCTCATGACTTCACGAACAGGATTAATGCACGAGAGTGGTCCCGCAATATGACTCTTTCGCTGAAAGCCCGTTCCAATGGATATTGGTTCGAAGTATGGCACAAGCGCGCAAGTTGCCATCATTGCTTCTATCACTGTCGCGTTGGAAGCAATATTGTTGGAATGCCTATACGTGCGGAAGAGAACTTTTGCCTGCATATTTTCTTCGACCGCTGTGATGGCAAACCTGAATACTATTAGCGTCTTTAT